TCATTTATTTGAAACGGGAACAATACCCATTATAAATAAACCTACTAGAATAACAAAGTCTTCATCCTCCTTAATTGACAACGTTCTTACCAATGACTATTTCAATATTACACTCAAAAAAGGTATTATAAAAACTGATGTTTCGGATCACTTTCCAATTTTTTTCTGCTTAGGCGCTGACCACAAAACAAATACGAATGGTAAAATAACATTAAAAAAACGAATTTATAGCAACAATAACTTAAATTTATTTAAAGAGCAACTTTTACACCAAGACTGGAGCTATATAAACTTTAATGAGGATATAAATATCATCTACAAATCTTTTTTTAATATATTTTACAAAATATATGAAGCAAATTTTTCTATTCGAGAAATAGTTCTTAACGCCAAAGACATATCTTGTCCTTGGATAACTAAAGGAATAAAAAAATCATCAAAAATAAAACAAAAACTCTATATTAAATATCTTAAAAATAAATCCAACAAATATAAAAAAAACTACACGGTTTACAAAAATCTATTTGAAAAACTCCAAAAAAAAGCCAAACAAATTTACTACTCTGACTTGCTTATAAAACACAAGCATAATTCAAGGCGGGTGTGGCAAATAATGAAAGAAATTACTAGCAAACATAAGACAAACACAAATACGATGCCGAATGCTATAAAATTTGAAAATAAGTTAATTACCGATTCAAATGAAATCGCAGCCGAATTCAATATTTTTTTTTTCGTCAATAGGACATAACCTATCAAACAAGATTTCTTATGTAGACAACGACTCTGTTGATGAATTTATATCATCACCAAATTCAACTATAAATTTTTCAAATCTAACTTATAATGAATTCGAAATTGCATTTAAATCATTAAAAAGGAATAAAGCAATAGGGCCTGATGATATAAATGGAAATATTGTAATCGACTTTTTTAATGAGATTAAAGATATCCTCTTTAAAGTCTTCAAAGCATCTATTACTCAAGGATCGTTTCCAAATAGTTTGAAAATAGCCAAAGTAACTCCAATCTTTAAAACAGGTGACCATACCAACATAACAAACTATCGTCCCATCCAGTTCTACCGGTCTTTTCAAAAATATTAGAAAGAATAATGTATAATAGAATTTACTTTTATCTTATTGATAATAAACTCCTTTATAAAAATCAATTTGGTTTTCAGAGAAACAGTTCTACTGAACACGCTATTCTCCAAGTACAAGCAGTATTGCCGATTCATTTAAGAATTCTCAATTCACACTAGGCATATTCATTGACTTGTCAAAAGCTTTTGATACTGTTAATCATCATATTTTAATGAAAAAGCTAGAGAGCTATGGTATAAAAGATAAAACCCTAAATTGGTTCAAAAGCTATCTAAGTAACCGCAAACAATTTGTTTATAACAAAGAATCTTCATCGCAAATAATAAAAAATATAACGTGCGGTGTCCCCCAAGGGTCCATACTTGGACCACTATTATTTCTATTATACATAAATGATCTTTACAAAGCTTTTACCCTAACGACCGTAAATTTTGCAGATGATACGAATTTATTTCAGTCGCACGAAAACATAGAAATACTTTTTAATAATATGAATAATGAATTAAAAAGAATATCATATTGGTTTAGAAAAAATAAATTGTCCTTGAATACGGATAAAACAAAGTTTATACTTTTTCACCCAACCTCTAAAAAAAAGAGAATCCAAAATATCTTACCTGACCTATTCATTGACAATACAATCATAAAAAGAGAAAAATTTACAAAATTTTTAGGAGTCATAATAGATGAAAACTTATCTTGGAGTCACCAAATTGATAGTATTTCAATGAAAGTTGCTAAAAACGTTGGAGTTCTATACAAAGCTCAATATATACTAAATAAAAAGCAACTAACTCAACTATATTATTCATTTATTCATTGCCATATAAACTATGCAAATATTATATGGGGAAGCGCTCACAAAACCAAACTTAAATCTCTCTATCGGCATCAGAAACACGCTTTATGTTTTATGTTTAAATGTAAAGAAAATTTATCTCCAAGTGTATTTATAAATCTCTATAATTTGAAACCAAAAAACAAATACGAGCTTCGTGATAGTAAAAATATTCAAGAGCCGTTTTGCAAAACAAAAATTAACCAGTTTTGTATTTCTTATCGTGGTCCATTTCTTTAGAATAAAATAGTTTTACCTAACTTTGATTTTTCTTTAAAATGGTCTTATTCCTCCTTTAAAAAGAAAACAAAAGAAATAATCTTTTCAACACAAAATATATTTATTTATTTTTAGTATTTCAAGTTACTTGATATTTTTGTCGACTGTGTGATGAATATTATTTAAACAATATATGCTGAATACTTTATATTATAATATTGTTCAATATTGAGAATGTTATATATCCATATTATAAAATATTATGTTAACACTTGCTTAACATTTGAAGAATATTCTAACGCTTATGTAATTTTTAATATTTGTAAATTTTCTACCTTTTAATTCGTTATATAGATTGTAAAGGGCTTCATGATAAGATCATGTGATCTTCTGGAAGTCCTACCAGCAATATATTCAATGTAAATTTACCTTGTACATATTTTTCTGGGAAAAAAACTTGTTAAATTAAATTAAATTATAAGCTTGATGTCAATTCTTTGTTTTCCAAATTGAAATTTAATTAAAAGTCATTGTTCTTAACCACTAAACACGTTTTGTAATAGTTAACAGATTTGAAAGATTTGGAGTGTTATTGTTTGTTTACCTTGTGGATTTATATTATATATGTATATTTAAAATAAATAAAAGAAACGCCAAATAAACAAAATAGTACTAGAAAGAAAAGCAGAAAATGGAATGGGTTTAAACCACCTGATATTCTCAAATCAAAACCTGCTGATCACGAGATTTTTTGTGCAAGCTCAAGAAAGTTAGATGTATCGTTCAGCTTGGATAAATGTGAATCTGACGACTATTTTATACTTATTAACTTTTTATTGTTAAAGAAATTAATTGCACACACTATTTGCTCCAATTGCTTTATTGGAAATTTGTTAATCAAAGATAACGTTGATTCTCGCATGGGCTTTTGTCATTTACTTGAGATGAAGTGTACAAAGTGTAACTTTTCTAAAAATTTTAGAACTTCACAAAAGTAAAATAATTCTTTAAACACAAAAAACTTTCCTATTGATACTGTTAAAAAAGAACTTTCATCTATAGAATCACCATATGAGGCCAACCTGTGAGCTGTCATTGGATTGTAAGAAATAGGTACTGGTCATGAGTCGATGAAAACTTTTTCCTACTGTATGAATCTTTTTTGTTTGTCACCTATCGCTTTAATAAGTTAAATTATAAAAACTGTTAGTATACAAAATTGCTGCTGAGAAAAGTATGCAAAAAGCTGCTTTTGAAACTAAATCAATAAACAACTCTCTTGAAATGAAGGAAGTTAAAATTTTTATTGATGGTTCATGGCAAAAGCGAGTTCATAACTTTTTGAATGGTGTTGTAACTGCTGTTTGTAGTGACAAATGTATTGATGTAGATATATTTACCAACGTAATCAGCTATTTTAACATACAATGATGGTGCAAAGTGTGTTATTAGTGTCTTTAGACATTTTGGTTTACATGTTAAGATGTCAAATATTTCAGCGACTTCTAAAAATAAAAAAAGGATTAGTCAAATGAGGTGTAAGTCATCAGAAAAGGAAAAAAAAAAGGAGAAAAACTCTTAGAGCCATGAAATAAGGTCACATAGATGAGGAGAAAGTAAAAGAATGTAATGGCAGTTATGTTTTAGGAGGATTTTAAATTGATATTGTAAATAATATATAAGGAATTTTTCAAAGCTGTTTATCTCAGTTCGTGTTTTTTCGTTTTTGCTTAAACTTCAAAACACAGTTTCTTGAGTTAGTATTGTTCATTTGATCTGAAATTTTCAGTACTTGCTTGAAATACCTATAAAATTCATTTAACGTATGGATTTTTTTTTATGATCAGTAATTATTTTTTTTTTGAGTCAGATCTCTCTAAAACGTCAAAAAAAAAATTTAAATATGAGGAAAATCTACATAACTCATCATTTAGTTTGTTATTTAAAAAATCTATCTTTTAAATGAAATAAAATAGTGTTTAGAGTAAGTGTACAAAATTTCAGGTCATATTATGATGGCTAGCCTTAGATATTATGTTTTGAAATTTAGTCCAAGAACGCATTTTTTGATAGTTTTTCCGCCATTATGGTCCTAATTCTAATTAAAATTTTTTTTTTTTTGCTTTTTCTCATTTAAATCATTTGAGTAAACTGTATTTAAAAGCATTTTTATTTCATTTTTTATTATTTATTTGGTGTTTTACCACTATAAACAACAGGTGTCCAAATAAACAAAATTATTATTTTTCAAGTTTTTGGAATATGTCATGAACATTTGATTCTAAGAAAAAAGCAAATATCTGAAAAGAAAGAATTAAGCCAATTTTTACAACATGTTCATTAAATTTATGACAAAAAGCTTCTCATAACCGAAACAAGATAATATTGCCAAAAATTTTTAGTTAGGAAAACATTGCTAACTAGCTATTGACATAAAAATAAGTGAAAACGTCGTTGCTATGCGTGTTTCAAAGGAAACTTTTAGGGTGCGTATATATAACAACTTATACATTTTCTTCTTAATGTTTTCTTTCATACTAATTTTCAGAGACTAATCACATCTCTGCAAAGTCTTAGCTAAACAAGTAATTTTTAGATAAAATTTGAAACGCAAGTATTTTTTCTTGTTGGCGACCTTAATTTTTTTTTGAAAGACTTAAAAAAAAGTTTTATTAAAACGTATTATATGCACTCCATCCAAAGCGTTTTTTAAAAACACGAGTGCATTACAAATAAGGGATAAAATTCAAAAAAATGTTAGAATATCTTTGGTGATACAGAGATATTTTTAACTTTATCAATCTTTTTATAAATTTGTGAGGAAACCCAGGGGGTAATACTTTGTAATAAATCACAATCTGAACGTTTAACTTACAAAATGTTTATTTATTATAATCTAAGTCACTTTGAAGTTTTTCAATTTGTTAAAAACGCAAGTTTGTATGCCATTTTTAAGATTTTTGATTAGCTAAAGAAATCTTAAATGTCTTTGAATAAAGTGACAGATACTTTTCCCCGAGGGAAATTAATGGGATAGCGATCACCACACCAATAGCCGCGCTAAACCCAGTAGCTAACTTTCCCAACAGAGTTACCGGAATGACATCACCATAACCCAATGTGATCATTGTTTGCATAGCAAGCCACATGCCTTCTGGAACACTAGTAACAGGACTTTTTTTATCATCAAGTTCTGCTAAGTAGATTATACTACCAAATATAGTAAATGAAACTACCATGTAAAAAAAAAGCGCTGTAAATTCCTTAATACACATCTTCAATATATTAAAAACTGTTAACAATGTTGGACATGACGTTGAAACTCTTATTAGTCTAAAAACTCTTACCATTCGCAAGCATCGGCTGAAAATGGCTCCATTCCTGTCTTCAACTGCTAGAAAGGGAAGTGATATAAAAATAGAAAAAAAGTCCAATGCGTTTGCGATTGATTTAAAAAATTTTAACTTTGATGGAGCGCTTACGAACCTAGCTATTATTTCGAAAGCAAAAAAGATATTAAAAGTGGAGGTGACTGCATTCATTACGACTGAAACTGGTCCACTTCGAAATTTTTCTAACGTTGAAAAACAATCTACTGTCACAATAAAAATGATTGCTATGACTGATACTGATGCAAATATTTTTGCTTGCAAAGATGAACTGGGTTCGTCCAAAAATTCCCATAGTTTCTGTAAAAACGTATAACACTTCTTTTTCTCATCATTGTGCTCGTTTTGTTCGTGGCAATCAAAACCCTCTCGTAATTTCATTGATTTTACAAACTTTTCTTCCAAACCGTAAAACTTGCATTCACATTCAAATAACTCCATTGGCAAATTTGACGGTCTAATTAGGCAGCCATTAGACTGATAAAAAAACAATATAGCTTCAAATGCGGCAGACGAGCGGTTGAAAAAATAAGCTTCGTTATTAGAATCGAAGTAGTTCATTCTTCTTGACGAATCGCCCAACAAAGTGTTTGGATATCGATTTAACGTTTCTAAAAAAGTCTCGTAGAAACTTCCAGCAACGTTAAATCGAACTCGACTTTGGTAAACCATTGCTAACGCAATAATCGTTTCGTGGCTTTAGGAAAAACTGTTGGAAAAAAATTACACATGGCATATTTAATAAATGCATATTTTATTTAAAAGACATAAAGTTTGTGTGCATCTCTTTATTTCACCAAATATTTGATCATTATAATTCTTTTTCTATTCATTTATTTAAACTGTCGTTTTATACTGTCAATAAAATGTAGAAAAGCAAGTTTTATTTAATTAATTATTTAAAACTCTTGCAAATATTTAATTCAAATATTATAAAATATTAACTATAATAAAAAAAAGGTATAGAAAATTTTTTCAGGCTTTTAAATAGTATTCCTTGTTTATGTATTGAATGTTGCGCCTTTGTTTATGAAGTGCTTTAGTTTACAGAGGCGCCTGTATAAACCTTTTTATAAAGTTAACCACTTTTAGTAATAATAAACATAGTGCGTTGCTTTCAGTGGCAGAGTGTCTCTGTTTGTTGTTTAAGTTTAATTTACGGTTTATGTAATTTTTATTTTTCGTTTGAATTAACAAAGAAAATCAGGTATCGAAGAGAAAGCACTTTCTCCGTAAAATTCGCGGTTTCAGTATTTTATTTTTTCTCTACTATTTAACGGAAAAAGTCAGTCAGCAAACAAGCAGAACTTATTTCCGTAAAACTTACGGATTCTGTATTTCTTTTTCTGTAAAATCGTAGTGCTTTCTTTTAAAGTTTTTATTATTATTATTTGTATTAATTTTCTATACGAGCTACCACAGTTTTGAAGAAATTGTATTAAAATATTTAAAGTGCAGGTGTCTGAATTCCTACACCCTAATTTGAGATAAAACAATGTAATACACTCTTATTTTATGAAATACAGAGTTATTTTGTTCTATCTCCATTTTCTGTTAAAAAACATAATACAAACTAGTATTTTTTATATATATTGTGGCAAGATGATTGCATATTTTGGCAAATAAAGTACTGTGAGGTATATATCTGTTTTATTAGAAAAAAAATCTTATTTTACACAGTGAACAAATAACACAAACAAGCTGTTTAGTCTAAAATTCAATTCAACAGAGAAGATAAATAATATATTATCTAAAGTATGTACCAATATCTTCACAACGAAATAAAATTTTAGTTTAAGTTCTAAAAGCATAACATCCAAAATACATTGCAAAATAAAAAGATATCTTAAAGAATAATTAGTTAACAAGCACCTCTGGTAAGTCCATTAAAAATATAACATTTGAGTAAGAAGCCCATTTAACAACATAACATGTAAAACATATATATTTTGACAATACAATAAATTATGTTAAAATACTCTTATAAAATGCAATATTTACAGCAGGCATATACTTGAACAGATTTTGAAGAACATTGGCTTTATCATTTGATATTTGAAAACCCTGATTCAAAGCAGAAAACATTAGTACCTCTGCCATAACTAAGATTGTAGATTGTTAACTCATACTTTTTAAGAAACATTATAACGTGATTTTCTGTAGTATACATGATCTGAATGCTAGATGCTTTATCTAGATATAGCGAACAAGCTTAAAATTAAAAAAGCCAGCAATAACTAAAAAATGTTTGAAATTCAATTTCTTCATTTGGTAGACAGAAATTTTTTTTTATTGAGTAGCAGGAATTGCCATGATTAAACCAAGGGAACTAAATATTTCAACAGGAGCGAGTGCTCTATCAATTTGACTGTGGATATTTTCAACCTCTTGTATACTAGAATTCCCTTGTCTTAAACTTTTGTTAAATTACTCTGATTTTTGGGTAACATCACAAACCAAAAATCAACAAATATACGCGTTCATTTTTCATCACTGATATTTTGTGTGTATTTAAATTAAGAAGAATTTAACAGTCTTTCTTTTTGGTTACAGATTTGCATGAAACATTTTCTCCCTTTCTATTTTTACACGGCTGATCAGAATGTCTTAGCTGCTTTCTCACATTCTATATCCAAGTTTTAGGTGATGACTTTCGTTTCCTAGTTTTTCCTCAATGTAGGAGCAGACGACTAGCCGGTGTTATTTTAGGATTATCATCATGATAACCAAGAACAGAGAGATCAGTTTCTGAATAAAACAAATATATATACATATATATATATATATATATATATATATATATATATATATATATATATATATATATATATATATATATATAGCTTTTCTAGCTTTTTCTAGGTCAGCAAATTGCATTTGCTGACCTAGAAAAAGCTTTTGACAGGCTGCTAAGAGAGGTAGATTGAAGAATGACTGGTGGCAATTATCATGGCTATGTACGAAAATGTCACTATAGCAGTCAAGGCAAAAGATGAAGAGTAATAGTTTTGAATTGAAGATCGGTGTGTGCCAGGGCTTAGTACTTCGTTCTTTGCATTTTTTTATTGTCATGGAAGCTCTCTTCCAGATTACCATTGTATTTTTTCTATTCATGATTTGTCGCTAATTGCAGAGACAGAAAATAAATTAATACTAATAGTTTACTGTTAAGATGGAATAGAATTAAAAGGGCTTTAAATAAATATGAATAAAGCAAAATATATGCATTGTAAAGTCGAAAGGGAGAAAGCAAAAAAAAGGTACAATGTTAATGATTAGAGGAGAGATTCAAGATATATGTGCTCAGATATTATGATTAGGTCCGTAGCAAGCGAGGGGGGGGGGGAGGGGAATAGTGCAGTTGTTCTCCCCCCCCCCCCCCCCCAATAATTTTTTCAAACAAAGATTTTGAACAAAATTGTCTGAAAAAATGACAAAAAAAAAGGTCCTTAAATTACATTGCATTGAAAGTAAAATAAAATAAATACATGTTGTTGTTTTTTTAAATAAACATATTGCTTATAGGCATACCTATTCTCAGATTTTACTAAAAAATAAATATTTAAAAAAATGTTGTTGAGCCATGATAAACCATTTAAATAATTTAAATTTTTTTAAATTAAAATTTGAAATGTTTTTCTTTAATATAAACCACACTCACTCTCTTTTTCTGTAGTCTTTTACTGTGCATTGTATTAAATAATATTATATACACATTATTATTCAAATTATTCATGTTATTTTTGAATAATATGTATAATGTGTATTTTTATTGCTTGGCTAATTGTTTTTTAGATACCGTTATTTTAAAAGTTTGAGCAGCCGTGCCGCAGTGGTTAGAGCGCTTGCTTTAAAACCAAGAGATCCAAGGTTTGAAGCGAGTTCTAGGCATATTTCGCGCCATCTACGTGAGTTTCCTAGTTAAATTCGCTTCCGTGATGCTCTTGTATTGCTTTTAGCTGCTTTTAAAACTTTGTTTGATACTGCAATAACTCAAAGTTTATTTAATTTTTGAATCGGTATTTTATTTATTTATTTTATTTATTTTCATTTATTTGAATTGTCATGCTATATTTTTCTGTACAATGCACAGTGGGAACATTTCATTGAAATAGGTGTCCAAAAATATTATCGTTGTATTTATGTGCATATTAAGCCTTATTTGAGCAAAATAAAGACTTAATATAATAATTTTTATTTTTGTGTTAAACTTGCTTATAGGCGCATCAAGGGAGGTTGGAAAATTCACTTAAACACTTGCGCACCAATTGGATTTTTTATATGTGATACTTTTAGACATTGTTTAAATAATGCATGATTTTCCACGGCTCCAAACTTGTTATGTTCATGCTTAAGTCCAAGTATAATGGTTTGCAAAAAATTTGCGGTGATTGAAAATTTTGACCGCAAATTTTTTGCAATGGTTTGCAAAAAATTTGCGGTGATTGAGCCCCAAAAATTAAGCCCCTCTCCCACCCAAATATGAGGGCAATGAGTCCAAAAAAAGATTTTTGCAGCAATCTTATACTAAACTTCAATTCGTTGACAGGTTTCAACTTTCATCGAATAATCTTTTATTTTCTGAAAGTTATTATCATATTAAGTTTACAACCCAATGATTTAAAGTTTTCTTTTCCTGTAGTTTTGCAAGCCACTTGGATGTGTGATCCATAAGATCCTGTAGTTTAACTTTGGCCTTTGTTTCAGTAACTTCAATGGATGTTTTAAAGATTAGCATTAGTTTTTTATTTTGGAAGTTACTCGATAAGATAGAAATCTGCATGGTGCTTGTTTATGGGTATTTTTATATACACTTCTTGAAAGTTTGTTATCCAAGAAATATAAATATGCAAAAGCTTCTTCAGGCGTCATTCTCTCTTGCAATGTGGTTAGCTTAGAGTAAAGCAATAACAATTCGTAACGCTTTCTTTGTAACGACACTAAATAATTTGACTTAATTATAGTCACGTTTTTTAAATGCTTTTCTTTGTGTCACTAACAATATTTTGACGCATTTCTTTTTTTTTATATGATGTATGTCATAGTGCAACATACTTGACAAGAGTTAGTTTTAATCTCTTTCTTGATACATTTGTTTTGTCTTCTCTGACTTGAATCCTAGTAACAATGTATTTAAACCCATTATTTACATTTTCAAAAGCATTTTTTGAAACCTGAAAACATAATATAACATTATATAAACTTTAAATTGATTTCCTCCATTATCTTAGTTCACAACAATAAACTTACAAAGTAAAAAGAAATTTTTTAACAACATTTAGAAATTCATGTGGTTTTTGGTCGATTAGTGGGACATTAAAAATGCATTTTAAAATTTTTTTTTAAAATTATTTATTTATTTTAAAAGCATAAAGTTAAAATAAAAGATAAAGTTAAAATAAAAAGCAACTTTTTTCCTTTCAATAACAACACGAAAACAAATTTACTTAGGTCTTTCATGTCTTAAAGTAGTTTTTTTTTTTTTTACTTTTTGTAATGAATGAAAAAAATTTAACATTTAGGATTTCATAAATTGGAAAATTCTTAGTGAGGGTATTAGTAACAAAACCCACAATCTAACATTATGATTGAACTTAGATTTTTAGCCATGTTATTTCCTACTGTGCAATGGTTTTATCCGAAGATATTGTTGGCGTAGCATAGGAACAGCCTTAAAACTAATCCAAAGTAGCGTCCGTTATTGACCAACATTTTTATGTGCATAATTACTACTAAAGCGCTGAGTTGGCGGTGGCAGGATTTGAACCCGTATCGTACAACTGTCCGGGTTCTAGCTTTTCGTTTGACGCTCTAA